GGGTCCGCTTCACGCATCAGTGCGTAAAGCGGTCCCAGGAAGCGAACGCCGGGTTCGCTATAGCGGACCCCGAGCTGACCCCGAGCGAACGCGGAGCGAACCCGGAGCGCACCCAAAGCGCACCCGGAGCGGTCCCAAAATTTCTGAAAGCGAACCCGAAGCGGACCCCGAGCGAACCCGGGAAGCGAACCCGGGGTCCGCTCCGGGTTCGCTCTGGTGTTAGGTTGTGTCCGGTCGGTACTGTAGGTGGGAGAACAACACTATCGTTCGTAGTTCTTTAAGAACACTTCCATATCAATAATAATGGTTTCGATGTTCTTAATCATTTTTTTCCTATACATTCCTTTTTAAAAAAAATCATCCACATTTGGCCTCTGCCTATCCCTTGAATCCTGATTTAAACAAATGTGAATATACACAACCAAATGATGCTTCCATATCAACATAACTAAAATATAGCCTTTCCATTCTCTAGAAGAGATATTTTTCCAATAGTTTCATATAAAAAATCTTTGATCGCTTATTATGGCCGAACAATACTCCCTCTATAATTTGAAAAAAGTTGATTCCAACAAGCTAATTAAGAGAATTTGTGTTCCCCGCTTTAGGAAAAAGTAAAACATGCGCAGTACGGGGTTCGGGGGGGGGGGCGGATTCCCATCAAAGAATTTGTAGAATTATCAAATGTATACATGCATGTATACTGAAGGAAATAAAATATAAAATTATGGATATAAAGATTTAATTGCTTATTCTTTATTATGTGTATAGAAGATTCTCTTTATATGGAATATATTTATCACACTGTAATGATCATTTAATGAGTTTGTACAAGCCAGACCTCGTTAATTTTTAATTTCGCGTGCTGAATACTATTACTTAATAAAACAAAAGTACTTCTAAAAAAAGTGGTCCGTCCGAGACTTGAACTCGGGACCTCTCACAGGGGAATCAAGAATCATACCACTTGACCACGGAATCGCTTTACATGGAGTCAAGTATATGCAGAAGTGAAGTCACATACATGTATATATATTCATGTTCGGTATAATCAAAATTTTACACATTCCATGGTGTTTGATTTATCTAGCCTTTATTAAACAGTTCTTATAGATGTAATAAGAACATAAAGTCCGCCGAGAACCGGTTTTATACGCAATAACTCTCCTTCTGCCCCTGCGCCAGAAGTAGCGACATGTAATACGATAAATACTAATACAAAAAAGGGGTGGGGCACATTGAGAGGAGTTAGAGAAGTCCTAGGGAGTTTTGGTATAAAATTACATTGCATCAGCTCAAAATCTTCTTGAAATATCGCCCTGAAATGATAGTGTTACACACAGACAGAATCTATAAATTTTCGACCTTGAACTTTGACCTTTTGATCTGAAAATCAATAGGGGTCTTCATTAGGGTTCACTAGTCCGTAGGGAGTCTCTATGCTAAATTTCATTGCAAAAGCTTCTATATCGTGTGGAAACAAAAACGTTACAGACAGACAGAAAGACCGACGGACGAACGGATAGACGGACGGACAAACCCAAATTAATATCCACCACTTTTCAAGCGGGGGACAATAAACTACCCAAGGAAATGTCCATTTAAATATGATCAGTCATGATTTTTCTATTCTCCAAAAGATTATTTTTTTTATTTTTTCCCTATATATTCTATGTAAAATTTACGTTGTGGTCCTGCTCTATTCCAAGGAGTCATGATTTGAACATTGTTGATTCTACACTACCTGAGGATGGCTCCACTTAAGTATTATTTTTCCTAGCCCAGAGGTTGTTGTGGTAAAGGTTTTTAGAGAGTTTTCTTTTCCTATATTGTCTTTGTTAAAGTTTTATTTTAGTTCTACACGACCAGGATGCAGTTTTATCTTTCCTGACCAAGTGGTTCTTAAGTAAAAGACTTTTCCTATGTATTTCTATGTTCAAATTTGATCCCCAATTGTAGCCCCACTTTACCCCCGGGGATCATGATTTGAACTTGAATGTGCTCTACCTGATGCTTCCACATGAGTTTCGTTTTTCCTGGTTCAGTGGTTCTTTAAAAGAAGATTTTGAAAAGACATCATTACTTTTTCACTTATTCATTATTATCTCCCCTTGGTGAAGAGCGCAGCCCTTCATTTGAAAAAGAAAATATTACTTCCCTTCACCTAAGGATACTTTGTGGCAAGTTTGGTTGAAATCGGCCGAGTGGTTCTTGAGAAGAAGATAAAAATGTGAAAAGTTTACAATGATAACAACAACGACGACAGATAATGACCAAATTCTGATCAGAAAAGCTCACTAGAAAGCAGAAATCAATACAGCAATGAAATTAAGATTTATGTAAGAGAGGGACAGACTTAAATTTCAACTTTTAAGAATGTTTCAATATCGATATCAGTAATGGTTTTGCTGTTGTTGAACAAAAATTTTCAAAGATTATATTAAAATAATTTTTTCCTCTACATTTTCTTGCAAAAAACATGTAAATGAGGTTTTCTATAGGTTAAACTCTTTTTGCCATTTTTTTTTTAAATTATAAGATACCAACCATATTTTCACTATGATGAGTTATCGCCTCTTGAACGAGGACCAAACTTTTGTTATTTTGTTTTTTTAATTCAGGATTCATGAAAAGCACATGGAACACAAGTTGATATATGGTATCTAGACAAATTATGTAATACAAATAAAGTTTCATAGGTTCTTTAAGATGCTTAGCCACGGATGGACCTTAATATTTTCTCAAATGTTCTGTATAATATCACGACGTATATGTTGGTAAAGCATTACATAGAAAAATTCCCTGGAAATTATTTTAATCTATGAATTTCGTGACGCTTTAGATTCACACATCCTTGCACTTTCATAAATTTTTACTTCATTCTTAATACTTCAGAAAAGTAGCAATTTTGTATGTTTTGTTAAAGTTGTATATTTAAATTACAAACTGTCTACTGAATGGATAAACAACTAGCAATCTGCGCATACAAAATTCATATACCAAACCAGAGAGATGTTTATAAAACAGGTTCCCCTCCTCCCCCATGAAAATGGAATTTTTCTGAATCGAAGAGGCATAAAACGCAATTCCTTCTTCGTACCTAAATGAGAACTTGGTCTAGATATTGTTATGATGAATCTGTATACTGAATCTCATAATGAAATGAACGGAAACTGCAAATGAACTCCAAGGGGCATAACTCTGTCAAAGATTGTACCCAAACAATTTTTTTTGACAAAAATTTATTTTCTATGCAGAATACAATTTTAACGTTATATTAAATTTTCTGGATTACAGTATAAATATTTCTTTCTAATGCACAACAGCATTTCTACTTTTCTTACATATCATGGATAAAGTTTGGCTAGTGTAAGGATGTGTGAATCAAACACGTCCGAAAAGTTGTAGTTTCAATAATATCCAGGTAGAATATGTTCATTTTTATGTTACCAGGCGAAATGCCATTGCAACACATATATTATGATATTATACAGAAAATTCGACAAAATATCAATATTACCATAAATCTGTGTCCAAACACCTTTATAAGGTTCTGCAAAATACCAAACTCTATCAATTTTCAAAAATATTTTAAAAAGTATGATTCGACCGCAACTTCATAAGATTGGTGATCTTTTTTCCTTTCGTATATATGATGATAAATGAGCTTTCATATTTTATGTGTCATGGAACTTGTTTATGTCTTTTTTTTAAATATTAAATCATAATTCTCTAGTTTTTCTTCTGCTTCCAGTTAAATTTTTTTCTAAATAATACCTGAACCTTTAAATTTAATTTGGGGTTAAAGCAATTATTTGCTTACTCCTCCATGGCTCCTGATCCCATCTTTGTTTTAGAGATCTCTGTTTGCTCTGCTCTTATATATTTTGTATTGTTTTATGTACTTTGAGATTGAATACTTTTATCAATTTTAAATCATATTTTTTAGATTTGCGCCATATATTACTCTGCGCGGATCTAAGACGTCTGATTTTAATTAAATTGATGTTCTCTAGTCTATGCTTATAAGGGTTGCGCAATTAGGTAATTGAATGACACACGTGGTGACGAAGAACAGTATTCGCGATCAAAAGTCCATTAAAAGTTACAAAATAGTTTCAGAGCAAACACTGACCTCCAAAACATCAGGAGTGGGATAAGGTGACATTGAATAATAATCATTCCCTGCCGAACGGTCAAACCCGTTGTAATGTATTGTAATGTTCAAGTAAAAACGGAAGAATCCGTCGACAATGCAGTATATAAATGATGGTCTAGCAATCAGTATGAAAAAAAGTCAGTCATTTCATTTAATTTGATAGATTTAACATGATAGATTATATTTTCTGTCACATAACCACATAATATGAAACTGCATAAAATACAACCTTGAAAATATTTTTCCATGTACTATATACATTATCAAACACAAACAAAATTTGCATGTTTCACAATAATTTATGCCACATTTATTGCATAAATTTAAAATTTTAAATTCAATTGTAAATCGTGCTGTGGTTGTCGATGTGTAATTTTAGATTAACTCAGAAAAACAATTTTTCACATCAGATATGTTTTCAACATTCCTTCCTTCTTCCTTTCTTAACACAAGGGAAAACATTATACTGAATTACAAACAAAAAAATGCATAATATAAAACAAAGCACTATAAAAGAAATCAAACAAACAAAATTAATACAAAATTAATACATGTACACACATTTTCAATTTCAAAAAAGAAAAGAAAAAAGAAATCAATGATATATCGACAAATGTAAAACATGTACATGTATTTAAAAAAAGAAATGTTTATGTGACGTGATTTCTTATTTCGTAGAATTTTGCGGACCTTCATCAACAAATTGATAGACAGGGGCTTAAAAGGCAAATGCCGTCAAGATCTGTTCATATTAAGAAATATTTTATATATATTCCCCCCCCCCCCCCACCCAAACGAACATATATTCTTTGTACAATTAAAAAATCTAATTTTGATTAATCAAGAGAATATACCTGGATGTTGTAAACATAACAGTTTAGGGAGAGGACTACCTAAGTTGTTAGAACTTGTGTCCGATCCCTTTAACATATTGTCAATAAAATATTTTCAAAACAACAGTTCGAACTCATGTGTTGCCTGTATAGGGTTAAGATAATTAAAGCCCTTAATAACACCCAAATAAATAACTATTACCCGTCTTACAGAATAAATAACACCCAAATAAATAATCATTACCCATCTTACAGAATACATTTAAATATTGCAGAAATACAGTGCAATGTTATAGCTTTATATCAAATAACAGACTGCTCCCTTGCTCTAACAAGAACAAAAAGCTTTATGTAGCCGCAAGACTTTGCTCTCTTGAAACAAGACGTTATATTGGACTGAAATTTTTTATAACTTACACCTTTAAATAGCAGTAGAACAATAAAAAAAAGAAAATCATATGACATTAAAGTGTAAGTAAGCTTAAAAAATTACTATAAAAAAGTATACTTTTTATTCAAAAGAACTTTTTTGTGTTTTCTTACAAAAAAAAGCAATTCTTACGTACAAAAGTATTATTTTTAAATATGAACAATAACACAAACTTTAGAGAAAAATTCTTTAAAGTACAATATCTCTATCTCGCTTTTACATACGAAGTTTATTTTTAAAAAAATCAGTTGTCACACAAAATTTGAAGATTAACAGTACGTCAGTAATCACTAAATTAAAAGAAACAAAGATCAATCCACACAAATTTTTAAAAGCAATAAATATCTGTAAACCATACATAAAACACGAATCTCAAGCACTCCAGGAGTAGACTCAGGTGCCAAAAATGAGAAAACATCCCCTTTGATCGGTCATATTCGCCATGTTTTTTCGATGGATAGAGGCAACGTTCCTTTGCTAAATTAAGTACAAAGCAGTCTATCACTTGGTCGTAAACCCATTCATGAAAGGTTATATTTGCTAACAATGCAATTAAAAAATATAATATAATTCTCCGAACATTCGAACATGAAACAGAAGTAACAGATTCTGTGGTGTCTTCGATTTCAGATTCACTAGGAAATAGCAAGTCGACATATAAATGAAAATAAATATTGATACCTGTAATTGATAATACAAATTATTTAAAATCTATATGATAGTATCCCACTCATTTTTGCAAGCTCTAATCAAAGCTAAATTTTTTTTAAGCTCCATATCTCAAAAATAATGTGAACGCACTTGGTATTGAGAAACCACTGAATCCATCTTCAGAATAAAAACTCAGCACCATACTGTAGTAAAAGTTCAGCGATACTGTCATGACCATATAAATTTGCTATGTACAGTGGACTCTTATTGTCTTTATTGCATAAATTAATGCAAGTATCATTTCTTAATAATAATAATTCGACCGTGCTGTAATGTCCGTTTTCACAGGCTATGTAGAGTGGACTGTTTCTCTCGTTGTCACATAAATTAATATCGGCACCTTTGTTCAATAAAAGTTTAACCATTCTGTCATCACCGTGGAGACATGCTAGGTACAACGGACTGCAGTGACCTTTATTGCATAGATTTACATCAGCACCTGAATTTGATAGAAGTTCGATTGTGCTGCAATGTGAGTTTTCGCAAGCTATCCAAAGAGAACTGTTTCCATCTTTATCACATAAATTGATGTCAGCACCGTTGTTCAGTAACAATTGTACTGTGCTATCATGTCCATTTTGACAAGCTATAGAAAGAGGACTGGCTCCATTCTTGTTACAAAAATTGATGTCGGCACCGTTGTTCAGTAACAGTTGTACCGTGCTATCATGTCCATTTTGACAAGCTATATAAAGAGGACTGGCTCCATTCTTGTTACATAAATTGATGTCGGCACCGTTGTTCAGTAACAGTTGTACCGTGCTATCATGTCCATTTTGACAAGCTATATAAAGAGGACTGGCTCCATTCTTATTACATAAATTGATGTCGGCACCGTTGTTCAGTAACAGTTGTACCGTGCTATCATGTCCAGTTTCACAAGCTATATAAAGAGGACTAACTCCATTCTTGTTACATAAATTGATGTCGGCACCGTTGTTCAGTAACAGTTGTACCGTGCTATCATGTCCATTTTGACAAGCTATATAAAGAGGACTGGCTCCATTCTTCTCACATAAATTGATGTCGGCACCGTTGTTCAGTAACAGTTGTACCGTGCTATCATGTCCATTTTGACAAGCTATATAAAGAGGACTGACTCCATTCTTGTTACATAAATTGATGTCGGCACCGTTGTTCAGTAGGATTTGTATCGTGCTATCATGTCCACTTAGAGAAGCTATATAAAGAGGACTGATTCCATTCTTGTTACATAAATTGATGTCGGCACCGTTGTTCAGTAACAGTTGTACCGTGCTATCATGTCCATTTTGACAAGCTACATAAAGAAGACTGAATCCATCGTTATCACATAAATTGATGTCGGCACCGTTGTTCAGTAACAGTTGTACCGTGCTATCATGTCCATTTTGACAAGCTATCCAAAGAGGACTGTCTCCATCATTATCACATAAATTGATGTCGGCACCGTTGTTCAGTGACAGTTGTACCGTGCTATCATGTCCATTTTGACAAGCTATATAAAGAGGACTGATCCCATTCTTGTTACATAAATTGATGTCGGCACCGTTGTTCAGTAACAGTTGTACCGTGCTATCATGTCCATTATGACAAGCTACATGAAGAGGACTGGCTCCATTCTTCTCACATAAATTGATGTCGGCACCGTTGTTCAGTAACAGTTGTACCGTGCTATCATGTCCATTTTGACAAGCTATATGAAGAGGACTGGCTCCATTCTTCTCACATAAATTGATGTCGGCACCGTTGTTCAGTAACAGTTGTACCGTGCTATCATGTCCATTTTGACAAGCTATATAAAGAGGACTGATCCCATTCTTGTTACATAAATTGATGTCGGCACCGTTGTTCAGTAACAGTTGTACCGTGCTATCATGTCCATTTTGACAAGCTATATAAAGAGGACTGTCTCCATCATTATCACATAAATTGATGTCGGCACCGTTGTTCAGTAACAGTTGTACCGTGCTATCATGTCCATCATGACAAGCTACATGAAGAGGACTGGCTCCATTCTTCTCACATAAATTGATGTCGGCACCGTTGTTCAGTAACAGTTGTACCGTGCTATCATGTCCATCATGACAAGCTACATGAAGAGGACTGGCTCCATTCTTCTCACATAAATTGATGTCGGCACCGTTGTTCAGTAACAGTTGTACCGTGCTATCACGTCCCCTATAACAAGCCATAGAAAGAGAACTGTCTCTGTTCTCAGTATCATATGAATTGATTTCATCACCGTTGTTCAATAAGCAAATAATTGTGTTCTTACGTCTCTCTCCAGTTTTTGTTTCGATTCCGGCCTCTTTGATATGATCTTCATCATTTGCAGCAGCGAGTAATAACGGACTCCACCATCCATCTTTTGTTAACTTGTTAACGTCAGCACCAAGTCTTACTAACTCTTCAAGTATTGAAAAATTATGAAAAATCGAAGCAACATGAATTGGTAAAAGGTCATCCCATATTTCCATCATTCCTGATTTTTTATATTCTTCACTGAGAGAATTTAATAGGTTTAAATCACCATTCGCACATATAGCAGAAAATATAGGATGTTCTTTCAACTTTGTTTCAGGTATACTTTTCATGAAAAATAAAGAAATGTCAGTATGACAAAATACAATAAATCCGACTAAAGGACATATTTCACTTTTAAATGAATAAAGGAAATCAAGTCTTGTGAAAAAAGATCTTTCAATTAATTTTTGAAATTCCGATCTATCTAATTCACATTTAATTTTTACAAGAAGCTTTTCGCGCGAATCCACTTTTTCCTTAAAAGAGTTGATGACGCACTCTTTCCTTAAACATGGATTGAGTAGAACATCTACAAGGTGTTCTGTTTGCATGTCAATGATAAACCTGTCCACAAGATCATCAATGTATTCTTCAGGAAGGTAAACAGTGAAGGGATCGCGATCTTCCTTTTCTGTATCGTCTTCTATCATCACCCGACGTCTCAGAAAACCACTGTCTGCGTACTGTATTGTCTCTTGTGGACAATCAACACCAAACACCAGAGTCGTTATCTCCATAATAAAGTCGTGAAGGAATTGGAAAGCATTTCCGACACGTTTGACATAGGATCCTTTCAGCTGATTTAGAGTACTACGAATGACTGATATATGTGTGTTTTCTTGTAACTCGCACATACCTAAAATTTCTTTAAATTTCATCAAACAAATATCATTTTTTACAATAGCATCGATTTTCAAATTGTTTTTAAAAGCCACTATCAAGATAAGTGAGCAAAATCTTTTCTTGTCAGTTTTCTTCCAAATTTCTACTTCATTTTTAATAAATTTGTACGGATTTTTAAAGAAATCGACCCCCTTTTCTTTGTAGTTCGCCTCCCTTGAATAAAGCTTACAAAGCAATGGGAAGTAAGCTTCTGTTTTGATTATTTCAGTAACAACCTCCTCGGATAAATGAAGATTCTGTGAATACTGATTTAAGATCGCTCTTTTCTCGTCAATCGTCAGTCCATTTTTTTCGTTGTCAATTTCTACTACAGATGAGTCATCTAATAAGTTACCCTTGATTCTCTTGTCATTAAAGACGCACCTTCTACATGATATCAATAGTTTATTCTTTTTCAAGCAAATCTCCAGCGTTTTCTCTAAACGTTTCCACGAGTGATACAAAATTTCATCTAACGACTCCTTACCTAAAGGATCATTTAATACAAATAATATACGATTTTCTGAGACTCCGGTTGAACAGATCTTTTTTATTTCTTCCACCTTATCCACCGGTATGACATTCCATCCCTTCTCTTTAAGAATTAGTGCAATATGTTGAATTATTGCAGATTTCCCGGATCCAGAATTTCCTACCACTGTGATGAGGTTAAGACTTTCAAGCTTTTCTTGAACCGCTTCACTTGCTCTTGTAGGAATGAAGGCAACATCGTCTTCTCGCCAATTGTCCAGAATCTCTTTTACCAGAGTGTTTTCTGAAAAAAAAAAATATTTTTTTAAGATAATAAGTATAAAAACAGAAAATAAGAAATTGTTAAATCAAATTGTATTTTTTGGTAAAACTGTGTAACTGTCCACTAAGATTGTGCTCTTAAATTCATCTGAATCTGAATTAAGAATTGAAAAATACTGTTGCATTGTCTTTAGTGAATGCAACATATATTTACTACAAGAAAGTATGTAATTTAAAGTATTCAGAAAAAGAAACGAATGTATGTAGTCTTTAAGTTGTGGTTTATGGTGAAGTACAAATAAAAACTATGGATGGAAAGGATTCTCATGCCATATAATATAAAAAAAAATGGAGTATGGGGTTATTATCTAATGCAAACAAAATAATATGAAATTGGATTGCAGATAAGTTTTTTTTTAGATATCGTACGGTAATTTGCAGTTAATACAGTTAATCGGCCTATTGTTTTACATAGACATAAATGCAGTTACTCGACCTATTATACTTAAAATTTGAATTCACTTTGGAAAAAAATAGTTAACTTACAAACATGATAAATTTGATCTTTTTTTTTTACTCTAGTTAACTTAAAAATATACAACAAGAGAAACGGATAAATGGCTGTCAGGGATGCTAACATCCACGACTTTTGATTAATGCAACTACTAGTATAAGGTTTATCTAGAGTGAATGTTGCACATGTTAAAACAAGATTATATGAAGTGAAAGACCTACAACGTGGAAAGTTTGACTCTATATCTAGTGGTAGACTAAGTTTTACAACCGGTTTATGAAAATATGCGGAGAAAATCTTCCTCTATGATTACAGCATGGTTTCCTAGAAAAAAAAGGCTTCAAGGTGCGTCTCAGTTTCAACACTGGCATGTAACAACTCCATGATATATATGCAGGCCTTACGTTTTGTAGTCCGTGTACATCGAGAATTTTCATAGATGGAATTTAAAAAAAATATTTAGGCTCTATCCCCGATAACAAGACAGACATTTTTGCAATTATTCGATCATTATAGTTTGCACAATAGTTCTGACATCTCGTAGGTATCATGGAGATTTTCTTGCTTAGCCAACATTTGTTCAAATTGCAAGAATCTTTAAGAAACATATTCCACATTACTAATATAGAGAAATGTATTAGTAATGTAAGCGTGAAACACTAGTCTCCGCCTCATATCGTATGTAGTAAATATTTAATGACATTATTTATTATAGTCACCTTTGTCTTCAGATTTTCTTTTCAATTCTTGCAAATCCTTTTCCACAGAAGATAACTTTTCCAGTAGAGATTGGTTATTTTCATAATCTTCCCTAAGTTTTTCTATGACTGTTGTTTCGTACTCCTCTTCTAAAGCCTGACTTTGAATATTACTCAGTCCAGACATATAGTCTTTGTTTGTGTACGTTTGCAGTCTTTGGCAGATATCAGTTATGATTGACCACGTGTCATCAAACTCTGTCTGTGAGGTAGAAGCCGAGCTTATGTGTCCAAACATGCTGTTTCTTATCAATCGTATCCTCTCAATGTCATCACCGATCGTTGTTTCTCCTACTGACGGCATCGTGTTCCCACCCCAACCTTTTGTTGGACGAGGAATCTTTGTACATATATTTCTTATCAGTGTATATAAAAGCGTTATATCAAATTCTTTATAACCATCTGTTTTGGCGCCTATAAGACAAAGTTCTTGCTCAGGGCGTATTTTCTTATAAATTGATGATGCTTTCACTTTGTTGTAGACAAGACCAGGAGGTACCTCCATTTCTAAGACATCTCTACAGGCCTGGGTCAGTTCTTCGTTTATTGCCATTCCGAGTTTAGCAAACCTTGAACGGTCGCCAGGGTCTGCTCCAGAAGCCATATTCGAGTTCTTGCAGTGTAATTAACACTCTGAAATGACACTGCGCAGCTGGATATGGAAATGGTACACGTGAGTTCAAAATCCAGCATGAAAATACAGGTGAATTGATTTATTACACAGATGCTAAAAATCACATATTTCAAGAATTTTCTGAAATAAATTGTAATCTTATACGGTACCAATTTCAATACATATTTATATAAAATTTTATTTGATTTAAGAATATCTAATTAACATGAATTTTCAAAAAAAAAAAAAAAACTTCAGTATTTTAATCATTTGTATGACCAGTAAGCAGTGGATTTTCACTCCTCTATGGCACCTGATCCCAACTCTGATCTGTCTGCGCTGCTCCTATTTTTTTTTATTTGTTTTATGGATAGAATACTGTTCGTTATCTCCATATCCTTCTTGTTAATCTATTCTGACTATACCTTCCTTTATGATTAAAAAAAAAGTTTTTATCCTTTATTTCAAGGTCAAAGAGACAAAAAACGTGCAGGGTTTACGCGGACCTCCAAAACATAAAATGTTGGATCACGCGCCGACCAATTAAGCTGTTGTATGTTCTTTGTCGTGATCGGGGACAAATGGAAAGATATTTAGACAATTTTGTTAAATCAGTATATGTACATAATGGTCTACAAGTGAATATGAAAAACATCTGTCAGCACTTGACTCAAGGCTAGATTCTCTCTATTGACAAGGTCCTTACAGGCCATAGATCTTTCTAAATAGCGAGTTAAATTAAGACTGATGGTATTTATGTTTCATGAATTTGTTTGTCCAAAGATTCCCTCGATTCCTCGTCACCGAATTGCATTTTTTGATATAAAAATTTATGACAACAAGCCTTTTTATGAAAGGAAAGGTTTTGCAACCCAGTCTAAACGTTGCGCAGTCTCAATTATGGGTCAATAAATACGTGAAAATAGAGATATTCATATGATTCTGGGAAAGGTGTAGCTAGTCATTAGTTGTATCCATGTCATATGATTTTATCTAAAATAAAATCTATAAGATTGAAATATGTACACATTCATTTGAAACAGGTAAAAATATCAGGAACAACAACAACACACACACAAAAAAAGAATAATAATAATAAAGTAAAATCGACAATGACAAATTTGGTTATTCTAGATATAAATATTTCATTTTTATTTCAAAAATTCTTGGAAAATGCATTCTTGCTAATTTTTAAATTATATCCAATTAATAGCCATGCATACAATAATTTAAATGAGAAAGGGGGGTAACTGAGTATAATTTTTGGGTAAATTAATATAGATTTCTATACTATTGAATGGATGACAACCGACCCACCCGCCAACCCCCTCCCCACAAGAGAGGGGGCTCTTGGCTTTCAAATATCAAATTCTAATGATTTCCTGCAAACCTAAAAAAATATTTAAAAAAAAAATCAAACACAAATTGTAATGAAATGCAAACAATTGATTTTTTTTTTCGAAATGATTCTTATTAAATGAATTGCATTTACAGCAAAACTCGTTTATAACATTACTGGACGAAAAAAGTGCTGAGAATCCCAAATTTTACTGATAATGTTTGATAATTACTGATACTGTGCTGTTCTTGCTGATAAATACTGATATTTACTGTTATTATTACTGTTGTTGCTGATAATTTTAGTTGTTTCTGATATATACGATAATTACTGTTGTCTTTTCTGATAAATACTGATAAATACTGTTGAGGTACTGTCGCTGCTGAGAATTGCTGATAATTACTGTTTAGGTGCTGTCGATGCTGAGATTTACTGATAATTACTGTGGTCATTGTTTTTAGCCTAGTAATTGGTTTAAAATAAAACAGAGGGCTATAAAGACCTTTAATTATTACTTTATTTTACTTGAATTATCATGACAAAATTTTCATATTTCTTTAAATGTTCTGCTTGTGACAAAATTACATGTATGTATGCTGATCTCAATTTCTACGTTAAGTTTGTGAAAATTTTGACAATCATCAAATGAATTATTAATAGAATGAATATATAGAAATAGAATTAATAAAAAAAAATAATAATAATAACTGCATGCAGCAAAAAAAATGGAATTTTACATTTGCATATTATTAAGATCTTATTGATAATAAACTGTAAATAAAAAGAAAATTCAGCTATCTTAAAAAAGATCCATCACCGCCTTTCCCGACTCCAAGAAATTTATGTAGGGAGATCGGTGATCTTTTTTTTATCAATAATAAGAAAAAAGTTCTTAATGGATCGGGAAAAAAAAATCAGAATAAAAAAGTTTCCTGCAGGTTAGAAAAGTTGGATTCGTTTCGTTCTCACTAGGTCAACTGGTCAGGTTTGGACAACATTTTCTTTTTTGAAGGCCTTTTTTTCTCAAAAACAATTTTTATCCTGCTAAATGTTGTTTTATGGTCTCATTTTGTGGAAATATTTGAAAATTTTCTTGAAACTTAGAAATTTTATCCTTTTTAAAAAGTAACTAAGAGATGAAAACAGGGTTGAATATGTTCAATCTGTGAGCACTGATTTTAATTAGTAATTTATTTATTCATTTATTTTAATGTTATAAACGTTTGTAGATCGTCCAAGAATTAATTAACTCCTCCACATGTACATATGTACAAGTACACACTGTATGCATGTGCAACCGGCAAATGGGGCGAGCTGATAAAAAATTAGAGGCTAAGAATCCCTAGAGCAAAGGTACACGTGTTTAGTTTGTCTCTTAAAATTTCAATACAAAAAACATTTTTTATTAAATCATTTTTGAAATCTCATTATTTTTTTTTTATTTGATTTCATGGAATGGGAAATAAGAACTGAAATGAGACTAAATTTTACATGTTACTATTAGTATATGATCAAATTGATCGATTTTAATTTTGCATGGTAAAAAGTTGAAAGGAAAACACCTTTAAATTGAATTCAGATGATCAGAAATCGGTGATTGACCTGTGATTTGGCTGTATTGTGTACATGTCTTCAGTCCCGGGGTAGATCGGGGTACAACTTGTATATTCCATGCAAATTGTAGTGGTCAGCGTTACAATGGGCACTAATTACCTATTGTTCTTCGTCTGCGGCTACCGGTGTTATCAATAAACAAACTACTTACACTGTACATGTACTCGCTACTTTGGAATTTGAATTTGATGACGAATAAAATTGATAGAAAAAATATTTAGAATAGAACACTGTTGTACTAAAATAAAAAAGAAGATATATATATGTACATCTTGTACGTTGTACAGACTTATTTTAATTATTATTTCAATTCACAAAGATCTATCTTTCTTCAGTATTTAATTTCATTTTTTTAGTTTTACACATATTTCTTCAATCAATCAATCATTTATTTGAATCTTTTTACCATTTTACAATAGTATACAGAGACCACAAAAACATGTAAAATGTAGGTGATTTTATACATAACAGAGGTCTAAAAGGCATGCATGAATAAGAAATTTAGGTTGCTATAAATGCGAAGTAAGGGAATTTAGGCCGGGGAGTATATTTTGTTTATCAGATAAAAGAATATCCCGGTGGAGGTGGTCACATGTATTTTCAATTCTGAATCTCCAGGCGCGTAGCTGTTATACGCAAGTACGCAAGTGCGTACACATCATTTTCAAAAAAAGAAAGAAAAGAAAGAAAAAAGAATACGTAAAAAATAAATCTATTTGGAGAAAAAAGGGGCGGTATCTGTCTTGCAAATCATTTTACGTCTTATTGTTTCTAGTTAATTTTTTTGGTTCAGAATATCGTTAAAATCCAGTCTTTTATAAAATGAATTCCACACTTCTTGAGTAAGAAAATATTTTTGAATCAAAATTTTCAACTGTTAATCCGCGTAATCCTAATTATCCGGACAAATTCATGTATTTGATGAAGGAAAGCGATCTAATACCCCATTCATACGACGAAAATTTACTTATGTGTGCAAATTTAGATATTAGTAAATCTACTCACGTAAGTAAAAGTTAATTTGCTATGCGTTCAGACGAGATTTATGTCCTGTAAGTAAATCCTCACATTTTCATATAAACTGAGGAGATGGACAGAATCAGAATTGTGATTTTTTTTTTATAGAGAAAGGTATCTCCTTACTGTTTGGGTATAAGACTAACTTTTAAATCTTCCTCAAAGAAACTAGGGGGGGGGGGGGTCCGTTAAACTGATTTCTGAGATCAGCTTACTTAATGACTTTAAGGAGAAAGAATGGTATAAGAATTTACACACGAAGAAGGAAAACTTATTCAAATTATCAATATGAGCTGCAAGATTGACAAGGGAAAATTTTGTTGCAAATTTGTAATCAACAACTATTTCAATGATAGAAAAATAAAACATTTATTAACTAAAGTTGTTCATATTTGCGATGGAAGAACTTTTAATAAGCTTTAATTGAAGCAAAATGACATTATTGTCGTCCTGTGCATTATTGATTTCTTGTATAATGTTATTTATTCTATTGTACAGGAACATTTCTTCTGAAACAATTGAAAAAATTTATTTTGGTTTCATCATAATTAAGGGTTAAAATTATGTACAAATTAATCAAAATAACACATTTTAATAGCAAAATAATTTTCTAAAAAAATACAGCTTAAATTGCTTTATTGTTCGAAAATGTTTTGGCTTCAGTCCCAAATATTATAGAAGAGATTGTGTAAAGAAAAAGGTACTAGTTGACGTCTTCGACAGAAATAGGACCATTTAAAAATATTTTTGCCATTGGGAAATCTACAGTACATCAAGTGTGCGAGGCCATTTTAAAATATCTGCTTGAATATTATATAATTATTATATATTTTCCAGAAGAATGAAAAGGGTAAAAAAAATCTAACAGTGATCGATTTCAAAAAGCGTTGAACAATTCAAATGTATATGTTAAAAGGAAATTAACATGAACCTCTGGACATGATGAGATAAGGTGCCATGAAGGTTATTTATAAATTATTATTTTCACTAGTTTATTGAAAATCCTGTAACATTAACTTAAATATCAGTAGATTGCCTGAATTAAA